CTTGGCTTTCAGCAAATCACTATTTCAGTGTGTCTCCACACTCACCATTGTGGAGTGACTTGCAACTGTTTGCTGTTGGGCCACAGGTGTCTGTTGCCACCTTCTTTTGCGTCTCTTGTCAGGCTGTGGCACATCTGAACTTCTGGAAGACTCTCTATGATGGGCTCGGTTTGAGTCAGTAGCCACCCTTGGTCTCACTGATTGCAAGTGGAGTGGGTGGGATGGGAGGCCTGTGGGAGCTGAGTCTCTGAGCAGGGGTAAGAGTATGACAGGGCAGGCCTGTGGACTCCCACAACTGCTACAGCCAGAGAGCCCCGGCTGCTCAGAAAAGGCATGCCCCAAGCGGAAGCTTGAAGGACAACCTGGAGTCAGGGAGGGGGCCAGGCCTTCCAGACCCTGGGAAACAGCCTGTGCCAAGACACAGAGGCACGAGAGAAGGAGAGAGTGTTCAGTATGGTTGGAGTCTAACCAAGGATATGGGCAGAGGCTGGAGTGGCAGAGAGAACACTGGTCTGGAGCTCAGAAGAGGGCCTGGTCTGGAGCTCAGGAGAGGGCCTGAGTAGAGATGTGGGTGTGTGCATGGTGGACGCAATGATTGAGCTCTTGGCATAGATACAGCCTTATATCCACACAACACTACTGAGACCGGGCTGTAACTTTTTCATTGCCTGTCATCTCTTTTTCATCTCTGTCATTAAAATTTAAAAAAAAATTTTTTTTTTTTTAGGCGGAGTCTCACTCTGTTACCCAGGCTGGAGTGCAGTGGCATAATCTTGGCTCACTGCAATCTCTGTCTCCCAGGTTCAAGTGATTCTCCTGCCTCAGCCACCAGAGTAGCTGGGATTACAGGTGTGTCCCACCACACCCGGCTAATTTTTGTATTTTTAGTAGAGGTAAGGTTTCACCATGTTGGCCAGGCTGGTCTTGAACTTCTGACCTCAAGTGATCCCCCCGCCTCGGTCCCCAAAGGATTACAGGTGTGAGTCACCATGCCCAGCCTATTTTTTTTTTTTTTTTTAATTTTAACTATATGACAAAAATTGTACGTGTTCAGGGCATACAACATGATGATTTGATGTATCTCTGCATTGCATAATGACTACCACAATCAGATGAACATATACACCACCTCCCCGAATGAACATGTTTTTTTTGTGTTAATGTGTGATGAAGACATTTAAAGTCGGCTCTCTCTTCAGATTTCAAGTAAACAGTACCATAGTATTGTTAGCCAGAGTCCCCATGCTGTCATCAGATCCACAGAATTTACTCACCTTCTAACAGAAAATTATAAGATGTAGCCTTTGGCCAACATCACCCATCTCTCCCATACCCCTATATATACACATATACTTCATATATGTACACATCATATAAATACACATATACATCATATACATACCCATATACATCATATACATATACATCATATACATACACATATACATACACATCATATACATACACATATACATCATATACATATACATCATATACATACACATATATATCATATACATATACATATACATCATATACATCATATACATATACATCATATACATATACATCATATACATACACATATACATACACATACATCATATATACATCATATACATACACATATACATCATATACATATACATCATACACATACACATGTATATCATATACATATGCAACATATACATCATACATACACATACATCATATACATATACATCATATACATATACATATACATCATATACATACACATATACATACACATGCATCATATACACATACATCATATACATACACATATACATCATATACATATACATCATACACATACACATGTATATAATATACATATACAACATATACATCATACACATACATATACATCATATACATACACTACATATACATATACATATACGTATACATATACATATATCTATGCAGTGGAATATACAGCCATAAAAAAAGAAGGAGTCCGAAGCAGCAGTGGCTCTCTTGCTGTTCCGTTTCTCTCTGTCTGCAGTGTCCTGTGTGGGTACAGCCAGTGGCCCCACCTGATTGGCACAGTCACAGCTGCTGCAGAGCTGCCTTCAGGCCTGAATGAAGAAGGCTGAGAGTGGGGCATGGAGGGAAGAACTTGTGATGTTCTCTTAAGATGGGCTGGCAAATGTTTTCTGGAAAGGGCTGGACAGTGGATATTTCAGGCCGTGTGGGCTCCACAGTCTCTGTCGAAACAACTCATCAAAGCAGACTTACACAATCCCGAAATGGGCAGTTGTGGTTCGGGGAAAGCTTTACTGGCACCTACTCTATCCTATGAGGCTGGTGATACCAGCAACATTTTCCGGCTGAAGGAGCTGAGAAGCAAGGATGATACCATTTGCTGGGACCTTGAACTGAAGTGTGAGGGACGTGGGATTCAAAGGTAGATCTAATTAGAAAACTGGTGTTCAAGGCAGGGCACGGTGGCTCATGCCTGTAATCCCAGCACTTTGGGAGGCCTAGGCAGGCGAATCATGAGGTCAGGAGTTCGAGACCAACCTGGCCAACATGGTGAAACACTATCTCTACTAAAAATAGAAAAATTACCCAGGCGTGGTGGTGGACGCCTGTAATCCCAGCTACCTGGGAGACTGAGGCAGAAAAATCACTTGAACCCTGGAGGCAGAGGTTGCAGTGAGCTGAGATTACGCCACTGCACTCCAGCCTGGCGACAGAGCAGGACTCTGTCTCAAAAAAGAAAAAAAAGAAAACTGATTTTCTTTCTACACTGCCAATTTACTGCCCTGAGGAGCTTAAAGTTCTACAAACAATGGACCAATTTTCCATGTGTGTTAGATGTGCCCTTGATGTGCAGATACTATAGCAAAATTATTATTTCCTTAGCAGAGCTGGTCTTCGGTTTCAGGTTAAGAGAGATGGCATACATGTTTGTTCAGATACTTATGTAGTTTTTATTGCTTCATTTCACATATTTAAACATTATTGTACCAGAAATTAATTTCAGAACATTGCAGGAACCGAGATTTATTGAAGTCTGGTGTCTTGCTTTTCCAATGGTTCCTTGCCCAGCTGCATTTGTGGACGAATCCATCCTGTCCACAGCATTTTCAACGCTGCTTTTTATCTCAGATCAGTTTCTGATGGTTTGAATTAACATTCCCCTGTGCTCTTGCCTGGTTTTGTGGTTCTGTCTTCTGAAGCTGAGCAAGGAACCAATGTTGAGATGGATGGTCATTTGCCTTTCAGCCATAGGAGAGGGGACCCCGCAGCGTGGCCAGGCTCTGCAGAGGCCACAGTGCAGAAGCACTACTCTGTTTTCTCTCGAAATGTGAGCTGTGGCAGGTCACAAAGAGGAAGGAAATCACAGTGATAGAGACTAAACAAATCATGGGCTGCACGGCGCGGGGGAGCGGAGAGAAAATTACATGTTCGGGAGCTCCTCTGCTCGTGTGTGTCACTCGTGCTTGGCGAAGTATAATATTTACCCAATCTATGGAAATCACCCCAACGTTACCTACCAGCTTTACTGCCCCCAAAGAGTCACAGAACAGCCGAAGTGGCAGCAAAAGTGAATGTGCGTTCAGCTTCAAGCCCGTTGAAAGAACATTTTGGGGGGCATGCCAGCTCTCGGTCCCTTTCCTTCTTCACCATTAATCTGAACATTATGTCATAGCCGCGTGAGGAAGGCGGAAGAGTCTCACAGCTTGTCTTTCTGTGATGGCTTTTTAAAAAGATTCCCACTACCAGAGTACGGTTTGGCTGCACTTGTCATATCAGTCATTTTGATGCTGATAAAAACACAGGTGTCTCATCCAAGAGGCTGGAGATGCACCATGTATAGGACGGGGGAGGGCAGGGAAGGGTGAGGCCAGGGTGGTAGAGCGGATTGGGTCAGCATCCATCATCCCCTGTTTCTCACAGGTGGCTTTTGGGCAGTGATTTGGGCTCCTGCAAGGGGGACTTGTGGCTGAGATCTTTTTGTTTTTGTTTTTGTTTTTTTGAGATGGGGTCTCACTCTGTTGACCAGGCTGGTCCTGAACTCCTGGGCTCCAATGATCCTCCTACCTTGGCTTCCCAAAGTGTTGGGACTACCAGCATGAGCCCCCGTGCCCGGCCTACATCTCTTAAGGCTACTTGAGGCTGTACTTGCCAGGCAAGCATTGCTGTCTCTGAAACCTCCTGGGAAACAGTTCTTTCCTACTAGAATTTCCCCCTGGAATATAACATTTTCAGCTACAAAGTCTGAGTAGCAGCATTGGGGACCCCGTTATCCCGTGCCTGCAAGGCCCAGAACCCAGATACTTGCTCTTCGAAATGCCACATTGCTGTCTGGGGTTGATTTCCCACATTGCCCGTGGTGATCTTGTTTCACACTTCAGAAAATTCTACTATCTAGTCTGCTGCTCTAGGGCATAAACCATTTAAAAAATCCTTTATTTCCCAAGGTGAGGCAGACAGGAGCTCAATAAATCCCCTAACTCTTGAAAATATTTAACCCACTTGTGCTTGTGAGCCATACGGCTACCTTATCTCCATTTTCCTGTCTTCCGCTGTTGCATTTCTGCAAAGACTGTAATGATACTGATCAGTAATACTTGCTAAATGCTATCCTGTGCTGGGCACCATTCCTAAGCATCTCACTTATATATTGTCTTACTGAATTCTTACAACACTTCTAGGAGATAGTAACTGTTAAGATCTCGTTTTATAGATAAGGGAGTTGGTGCTCAGACGGGATCACTAACTTGCCCAAGGTTAATCCACTGTAGAGGCAGGATTTGAACCTGGGACCTGACTCCAGAGACTGTGCTCTGAAATCCAGGACCCTGATCAGCTGAGTCTCTTAGACTGTTATAGGAGTTATTTTTGAAAGGGAAAAGGGAACTTACTAGACAAGTCATCCTTAATAGCGTATAATCCAGAGAGGTGAGGGCGTGCTGTAATAGGCGAGACCTGCCAATTAATCTTGACTTTGTTTTCTCTCTTAGGTGAGCTGCGCCAGGCCATTGTGGCCATGATGAACAGGAAGGATGAGCTGGAGGAGGAGAACAGGTACTGTGATTTTCAGGCTTGAGGAATAGGCTCTTTCTTTGACGTTATGCCTCTGGGGCAGACAGAATATAACAGATGAGGGACATTTTGCTTTCTTGGCAAAAATCGTGACTGGCAATTTCTTATCATCGGGGATGTGCCACTGTGGTAGCTCTCTTGTGCCTGGTGTGTTAGAAAGGAGTGAAAACCTTATGATAACAGCACCTTCATAGAACAAGCTAAGAATTTGGTAGAACAGTCATTAATTCTTTTTTAAAAAACAGCCTTTATTGATATTTAATTCACATGCACTATAATTAACTCATCTAAAGTGTATGGCTGAGGCAGGCGGATCACAAGGTTAGGAGTTCAAGACCAGCCTGATCAACATGGTGAAATCTCATCTCTACTAAAAATACAAAAATTAGCTTGGCGTGGTAGCACATACCTGTAATCCCAGCTATTCAGAAGGCTGAGGCAGGAGAATTGCTTGAACCTGGGAGGCGAAGGTTGCAGTGAGCCGAGATTGTGCCATTGCACTCCAGCCTGAGTGACAGAGCGAGACTCCGTCTCAAAAAAATAAATAAAGAAATAAAGTATATAATTCAATAGTTTTTACTATATTCACAGATAGGAGTTAACATCAACACAGTCAATTTTAGAACGTTTCATCACCCCTGAAAGAAGCCCTATACCCTTTAGTTATTACCTCTTTAGCCTTGGCAGTCTTTTTTTCCCTTTTGACAGTTCTGGCTCTGTCACCCAGGCTGGAATGCAGTGGCGTGATCTCTGCTCACTGCAACCTCCACCTCCCGGGCTCAAGTGATTCTCCAATGTCACCCTTCTGAATAGCTGAGACTATGGGCGCATGCCACCACACCTGGCTAATTTTGGTATTTTAGTTTTGACATGTTGCGTAGGCTGGTCTTGAACTTCTGAGTTTCAGTAATCTGCCCACCTTGTCCTCCCAAAGTGGTGAGATTATGGGAGTGAGCCGCTGTGCCTGGCCTCTAGGCAGCCTTTAGTCATCATTAATCAAAGACCTGTCTACCTACCATGTTCCAGGCATCTGAACACTTACCTTAAAGTTTGCCCAAATCGGGGGTACTTAGGGCAAGATGAAATTCGGAGTCTTTTGACTTGGCCAAAAACCCAGTTGCAAACTCTTGAGAGGGCGAAACTTTTCATTAATCTTTCTTCCCTTTTGAAACCCATGCTAGATACCACCTGACATTGGCTGCCGACTCCCATCTGACTTATCTTGACTGTGGGGTGGTCATAGAAGGCTTACCTGCTGTTACCCCCTGAACTTCAGCAAGCATGATTCAACTGCCTCCCTGGGACGTGGGGAGAGGGGGCGTGTGCGTTCACGTCATCCTCTCTTACTCACACCCTCTTTTTTTTTTTTTTTTTTTTGAGACGGAGTCTCGCTCTGCTGCCCAGGCTGGAGTGCGGTGGCCAAATCTCAGCTCACTGCAAGCTCCGCCTCCTTGGTTTCGCCATTCTCCTGCCTCAGCCTCCTGAGTAGCTGGGACTACAGGCACCTGCCACGTCGCCCGGCTAGTTTTTTGTATCTTTTTTTAGTAGAGACGGGGTTTCACCAGGTTAGCCAGGATGGTCTCGATCTCCTGACCGCGTGATCCGCCCGTCTCGGCCTCCCAAAGTGCTGGGATTACAGGCTTGAGTCTCCGCGCCTGGCACTCACACCCTCTTTTACACACAGTCATGATTCTCCTTTAAACCTCATTTTTGGTCCTGCTAGACAAGCTTCTCTCTTGTCCTTTCTGGAAACATATAAAAGCAAACAAGCGTGATTTCTGAAACAAAAGAGGATGTCTTCAAAAGGAATCTTTAGACCGCACCGTTTTCCAACTAGAATAAACTTTCAATAGAGGGCTCGCACCATTGCGGGATTCTTTCTCCTTGCTCCAGCTGGGGCTATTGTCCTGGAAGAAGCCATAGATTTTGTCTTACCTTGTGAAGAACAATAACCGCTGTCTGTTACTTTTTTGTACTTCCCAGAAAGAAAGGAAAAATTATACCATGTTTTTGTCAGGGACCCCCAGGCACCACGGGGGTAATTTCCTCAAAGCTCTCAAGGAACACAAGTCTTGGAGATTTCAGTGAATGATCAGAGTGCGGTGGGGGTCAGATGTTTTTGATTATATTCTTTTTTTTTTTTTTTCCTTGAGACAGAGTCTTGTTCTGTTGCCCAGGCTGGAGTGCAGTGGCGTGATCTCGGCTCACTGCAGCCTCTGCCTGCCGCGTTCAAGCAAGTCTCCTGCCTCGGCCTCCCGAGTAGCTGGGATTACAGGTGTGTATCACCACGCCGGACTAAGTTTTGTATTTTTAGTAGAGATGGGGTTTCATTTTGGCCAGGCTGGTCTCAAACACTCCTGACCTCGAGTGATCCACCCACCTTGGCCTCCCTAAGTGCTGGATTACAGGCGTGAGCCACCCCGCCCGGCCATGTTTTTGCTCATATCCTGATGTCACATGGCAGGTGTCCTCTGGATTTAGTATGTAGATGTACCATGGTTGGTAATTGTTTTCCAGAAACAGCCAGGTAGAGTGAAGTAAATGGTCAGCAGCACCATGGTTGGCTGTCTCCGAGGCGGTCACTGGTGATGGTTTCTAGAAGACCTGCTATGCTCTCCTTTATTTAAGACCAGGGATGTCAGATACACAAGTGAGTCCTGTGCTGGCTGCAAGCCCCCTATTGGAGGGTTAACAAACTTGGGAATGTAAAATGCTATCTGTGCTATCTCAGATGCTTTAGTGATGTAAGATATTTCATATATGTGCTTGTTTCACCTGAAGTTGGCCATGAAACAGGCTCGTGATGTGTTTTGTAGGCACAGGTGGAAATGAGACTAGACATTTCTCAGATACTCTGAGTGTATATTCTATTTTTATGCCTCGGATTATTGTTTTGGCCTCTCCTGGCGTCCTTTCTTTGGTTAAATCTCTTACCTGGTGTAGCTGTGACAAAATGGTCTCATTGGAACATGCTACACCTTTGAGTGGGGTATTTGTGAAGGGACTTGGCTGGAATTTGCTCACCTCATTGTTTTCCCTTGATTTAGGCTGTCAGAAGGCTGGCCTGCTCGCAGGCAATCAGGGACATGGAGCCCAGGCCACAGACGACTGTCCCTTAATTCTTACTCTAAGGCTGTCAGAGTTTGCTATCTCCAGTTCACATGAGATAGACTTGAATTATGGTTTATGCAGAGCCTTGTGGAAAATGCATGGCTTAGGACTTGACTTACTTTAGGAACTGTGTCCTGGGTTCAGTGGGGTCTGGGTTGACAGCTTCTGAACAGATGGGGCCTTCTCTTCCCAGATCGCTGCGGAACCTGCTCGACGGTGAGATGGAGCACTCAGCCGCGCTCCGGCAAGAGGTGGACACCTTGAAAAGGAAGGTGGCTGAACAGGAGGAGCGACAGGGCATGAAGGTCCAGGCGCTGGCCAGGTAGGAGAGGGTGAGGGATGGAGAGGTAAGCACGTGGGGGCTTCATTAAAACCTGAGCATACTGGGCCGGGCGCGGTGGCTAACGTCTGTAATCCCAGCACTTTGGGAGGCCAGGGTGGGTGGATCATGAGGTCAGGAGATCGAGACCATCCTGTCTAACATGGTGAAACCCCATTTCTACTAAAAATACAAAAATTAGCCAGGCATGGTGGCATGTGCCTGTAGTCCCAGCTGCTTGGGAGGCTGAGGCAGGAGAATGGCGTGAACCCGGGAGGCAGAGCTTGCAGTGAGCTGAGATCGCGCCACTGCACTCCAGCCTGGGCGACAGA